TATATATATATATATATATATATATATATACATATATATATTCCCAAAATTATTGCATTATTAAATTATAAATTTTTTATTAACTTTCATTTATGATATATGACGAACATGCAACCTGAATGAATATCCTGTTTCGCTCAGAATTACATTACAAACGTAAAATGTGACCCTGGATCACAAAACCAGTCATAAGGGTACATTTTTTGAAATTGAGATTTATAATAAGCTTTCCATTGATGTATGGTTTGTTAGGATAGGACAATATTTGGCTGAGATACAACTATTTGAAAATCTGGAATCTGAGGGTGCAAAAAAATCTAAATATTGAGAAAATCGCCTATAAAGTTGTCCAAATGAAATTCTTAGCAACGCATATTACTAATCAAAAATTAAGTTTTGATATATTTACAGTAGGAAATTTACAAAATATCTTCATGGAACATGATCTTTACTTAATGTCCTAATGATTTTTGGCATAAAAGAAAAATCAATCATTTTGACATGTATTTTTGGCTATTGCTACAAATATACCCCAGCGACTTAAGACTGGTTTTGTGGTCCAGGGTCACAAATGGTTTTGCTGCTTTAAAGGGACAGAACACCCAAAAAGGAATTCTCACTCTCATGTTGTTCCAAACCTGGAACAGAAGAAAAGGTATTTTGAAGAATGTTGGTGTCCATACAACATTGTAGCCAAATGACTTATTGTATGAAAAACAAAAACTGAGACATTTTCCAAAATATTTTTTAGTTTTATGTTCCACAGAAGAAAGAAAGTCACACAGACATGAGAGTGAGTAAAATGATAACATAATTTTAATTTTTGGCTGAACTATCCTGTAAGAAGCCTGATACAACATTCAGTATGCTGGTGAACATTCATGCTGGTCTGCTGGTCAGATTGTCATAAGAATCTCACCTGCTGTCTCTCTCTGGAATCTCTTTGATGGCAATGCGCACCTGGTTACTCAGGTCTCTCCCTGCGTAGACCACTCCATAAGTTCCCCTACCTAAAACCACCCTGTCGCCATTCTCATTGTAGTCGTACTCGTACTGCAGAATGATTCAGGATTTAAGTATCCAAACCTCACAAATTCAAATAAAACTAACTTTAGGTGAGTTTTTGAAGCTCTCACCTCCAGGGTGTCTCCTTCTCCCTCCCCCTCCAGCTCGACAGCATTTCCTGATCCGTCTGTGATCAATTCCTTCACCATGGAGCAGAACCTTCAAATAAGTGACAACCAACCATCCATGCATCAGTAACCTCCATGAGTAGCAGAGTTTGAAACCTAATCGATTAACTTCAGGAACACTAACCTGCCACACTGGTCCTCTGTGGAGAAGTAGATCTGGAAGTCGTCCGAGTTGTCATGGACATACAAAAAGCAGCAGCGCTCATCGAATTTTGAGATGCTAGAGAGTGGAAGAATGCAAGATTTATTTCACATCTCTGGGATCATGAATAAATCACATTTAAATGGAAGGATTGCTGCTGAAACAATGTGTGAGATGGTAGCAGTAGCATTGGATCTGCTAGTTTTGACACTTTATGAAAATGAATCTAGGTAAAGACTAGGGATGCACTAATAATAAAATTCTGCCATTTTCATGTTATGGCTGATTAATAGTCAATATAAAAATTGTATACTATATTACCTATAAAGGAATAAAGGACACTAGGAATATGTTTTTAAATATAAAAAAAAACATTACTCTTATAATTATATAAAAATAAATATTATTATATTGTTATTAGTGGTTTGTAAGATTAACTTTAAGTGGGCCAGTGTTATTTTAGTATTACTTATATACTATTATATTATTTATTAATAATTTTGAATGAGCTTCTATTGTAATACTGTATTTTCAGCTTTTAGAATTTAGAATGTGCGTTTGTCTTTTTTGTTCATTTTATTTTAAAATATTTCTATTTAACTTTATTTCAGTGTTAGTTTTAGTAAATTTAGTACTTCAACTTATTTTTATCCTATTTCACTTAGTTGCAAAGGCAATAGTTATATTCTATTTTCATTTATATTTATTTTAATGAATGAAAATGATTGTTAAAAGTTTTCGTTTTAATGAACAGTAACAACACTGAAGTAAGCATGAATCTAAATGCAAAAAGAGGAGAATGAGCACAATTAAATATACAATGTCGACCAACATGATACCAGTAATGTTGATACAAGTTGATGGTTTTGCCAGATAAGACTAGTAGAACTAGTTCACACTTTAATATTGTTTGTTTGTCTTGAAACAATATTCAGAAAAGAATTTCACTCTCACCTAATCCCTTTGATGGATGATGCTGTGAAGTTCCACTCATGTATTCCCTTCTGTAACCACATCAGTTAGGAAAATTATATAATATCCACAAAATAACATTATACAGCAAACATGATACGGCATCCGGTGCGTGAGGTGTGTACACGCTCTGGCGTAATTTACGCAAGCGCCGGAAGTGATCTCTCGTGCGTATATGTCACTCATTGTTTACACAGTGCACAGTTATTGTAGGTACGACGGCTAATCAAAATGGAACTTACTCGCGCTTATCCGGATTAAATCATCATATGTGTTCTACTGAAGAAACAAAGTCACCTACATCTTGGATGCCCTGGGGGTAAGCAGATAAACATCAAATTTTAATTTTTGGGTGAACTATCCCTTTAAGCTGCCATTTTAACAATAAAAGTTGAGCTATGACAAGAAATCATGAGTAGAAGAGAGAGGATGTGGCCAGATTCAAATTCCTATTTCCTGCATCAGTGTCATCAGTGTCATCAGTGTTTATTCTATATGTACCATAGTGACCATATATGTACCATATGGGTGGTTTAAGTTTGAAGAGTTTCTCTGAAGCCTGCACAGCTTTGGGGATGTCATTGGCCAGCATGCTGACAGTAAAGAACTGCCCCACGTCCCAGTAGTTATTCATCTTCTCCAGACTGCCTTTACGTCCGAGCAGACTGTTCAACCTCACACCTGAGAGAGAATGAGAGGGTGAGAAGGGGCAACCTGTGTCCTTAACGAAGTCAATGGTCTGAGAGCAACAGGAAACAGGAAGTGTGTTCCTCCTCACCGATCTTCCTGAGTTCTATGGAAGTCTCAAACTGTTGCCCGGACACTATAAGCAGCACTGCCAGATTAATGCCAGAATAGAGAGTGGGCTGCAACTCGAAGCCCTTTCTATACCTACAACACACATGCATGAATACAAAATAACTTTTTTAAATGTGATAGGACTACTAGAGTGTTCTGGGTGTTATTATAACACATTTAAGTAGTTCTTAAGGTGTTCTTAATACATGTAATATGGCTGCTAGGGTGTTCTGGGTGATTTTAATACATTTAATGCAGCTGCTAGAGTGTTCTATGTCAGGGGTTTTCAAACTGTGGGTCCTGGAGTGGGAAAAGGTGGGTCGCACAAAGTAATTTGGCTGCAGCTAAATTTGTGTTTGAATGACACACACACACACACACACACACACAAGCAGTTTAGTCTAGGGCTGCGCAATATACCAACATTAAATAGAAATTGCAATATTACTTAGTGACCACAATTTAATTAATAAACATGCGCTGCGTGTTTTGAAGCACGCACACACAAGTTGTAATAACACTGAGGGTCTTAAGAGTGACTTGGTTCATCATTAAGTGGCTCTGTCCGCATTATTAAAGAGAAGAAACTCACTCACTCCGATCACTGCACTGTATTCTGCATGAGATTGCATTACACAGGAAAATTCTAACGTTACGAAAGGCTGTTTCAGGTCTGTTAATTTATCTCTGTCATCTGTTCAACTCAGTTCTGTTGTCTTTTAGAGAAATATAAAGAGTTTGTTGTTTTTGTTCCTTCATATGCATTTGATTGCCTACCAACACAAGGAAACTGTCTGTAAAAAGCATTTCACATGTAGGGGGTGAGCGGGGCACAAACTAATGCGGTTATTTGTAACACACATGATTTTAAACATTTCCACACATTCCACAGCATTACAAAACTTATGGAATTGACTAGTTGCCATATCAAAAATATATTAAAAAAAATTGTGACAAAATATAAAAATCTTTTGAAAACATCCATGAACATTTATTTAACCACAGCAAAAGTAAACTTCTGGTTGAAGTAAAATTTTCATCTAAATTTTTTTGTGTCTATTTAAAATGAGACAAATCTGCTATTATTTTAATCTGCAATCTAGCTAGCATAAGATACTAACCAGTTTTAAATTCCAGTTTCACAGATGGGAAATGTTGCAACACTGCGTTACAATGTGCCACGCTAGTATTAGATCTGTGCTATTCTATGACATTAGCGGTGTAATTTACATTAAATGCCTTCAATGAATTTTAATGAGAAACCGGTGAATAATGACAGAGTAATGTTCATTGTTCAGAAATTTATATTTCAAGAAATGTAAAGCATTTTAGATCATCTATTTGTCTCCTGTTCTGTGAGAGCTGTGTGCAGGGAGGGGAGGATTGTGTTCATTCAGGAATGTTTTCCTCTGTGTTTTCCTTTTTCATTAGATCAGATAAGATTTTAAACTGTCATATGGTCATGTTACAACATGCCCCTCAGATGTTACTGTGTGCCCCACCTATGGGGCATGTTGTCACATTTAACTTCCATTCTTTTGGGGTAAATAAAGAAAAAGATATACACTGTAGTTAGGAAACAAAACCTCATATTTGTACTAGACGTGTGAAATTAATGTGAAAAAACGGCACTCTGAACCCCATGTGGATTTACACAAACTGAGAAAGTTAAAAAAGTGTTTTGTTGCACTCCGCTCTCCCCTACATGAAAGGAGCATGAGAGCTTTTAATGTGTTACAGAATTATACTTCATATCGGCACTGGAGTGAGCATGTTTCAAGTTTTTATGGACATATTTCATATACTCTTTAACGTCTGCAAATGAAGAAATTAAAACATTAGTAGTGAAATTTTACAGTTGTACTAGGGCTGGGCGATATAGCTAAAAAATGTATCAGCGATATATAATGTTTCATATCGTTCGGTAGCGATAATTATTGACATTTTTTATAACCTTTTTTAAAACAAAGAGCAATAGAAAACTTTTTTTTGATTTAATGATTTAACCACTGATAATTTTTAAATTAACCCAAATTATTGAGACAAACAACAAATATTTTTTTTGTTTTAACAGTCAAACACACCATAAAAATTAAACAAATATCTAATTTCTAATGTTTTATATTCAGATTAAATAGGTTTTAAGGAAACATTTGGCTTGCCTCCCGAGGCCACAGGAGGGCGCAATGAGCAAAATAATGCATCACAAAATGTCAAAGCATGGAAATAACGGTCTATAAAAAAAAACGTGCATTACGTCTAAATTAACTCATATAAATCTAATATAATTTTGTAAATTGCATAAACAATTATGAACAAAACAGTATCATGTATTTATATATTGCTTAATACAAAGAGCCAAATCGGCCATCACACACACTGCATTTAAAAACATAAGAGACGCAGAGAAAAGGAATAAACCTCCACAAATTCGCGACGTGTTTTCTAAAAGTTTAAACTGTTTTAACTTTGCATGGCTCTTATGTGAGACGCGAGTGCAGCAGTCATATTTGTCCGTCTAAAAAAATGCGCTGAATATGCATTCTGTGTGAATGGCTTGGTTTCGCTAATCAAGATCTTCTCCGCATTGAGCTTCTATACTTCTTTAATATTTTGAATGCATAGCACAGCAGCGGCGCATCTCGTGGGCTAGACTAACAAAACATTAAAATGCAACAACGTCACTTACATCATTATCACCGCATCTTGTGCGCCACTGATGACGCTCCCTGACCCACTCCTAACATTCAAATGCAAATGTTTATTTTAAATTCGGCTAATATCATTTTTTTTACTCACAATCTCCTCATCACGGGCAGGCACAGCACTCAATTCAGCATGTATTCGTGTTTGTGTGTGCTGTCTGCCTCACTCATAGCACGTGCCTATGTCCTGCACTATATCGAACATTTTTTTATATAGTTATCGAAGAAGGTGTACCGTCGATAAATATCGATACCGTTTTATCGCCCAGGCCTAAGTTGTACAATAATATTAAATGATTATTTTTCGTAAATCTCTGTCATATCAAACTTTAGATTAAATTTACAGCAATGTCAATTGTTTTCTAATCCCAAAAATATTTTGGTGGGTCTTCAAATAAATTATACTTGTTTAGGTGGGTCGTGGAATGGAAAAAATTGGGAACCCCTGTTCTAGGTGACTTTGTTGAATTTATTGCAACTGCTTGGTTGTTTTGGGTGTTTCAGCATATTTAATGTGGCTGCTAGGACATTTCGAGTGATTTTAGTACATTCAATGCAGCTTCTGGTGTGTTCTGAGTGTTTTTAACACATTTAAATGTTGTTGCTAGGGTGTTCTGGGTATTTTTAGTGCATTTAAAATAGATGCTAGGGTATTCCAAGTATGTGACTACTTGGGTGTTTTTCACACATTTGATGCAGTTACTGGATCTTTTTAGTGCATTTAATGTGGTTGCTAGGGTGTTTTGGGTGTTTTCAGTCACATTTAATGCAGCTTCTTGTTTCTGGTTCAAGTCAACAGAGCCCAATACAAGGGATTCATTCATATATCGCCCAGGCCTAAGTTGTACAATAATATTAAATGATTATTTTTCGTAAATCTCTGTCATATCAAACTTTAGATTAAATTTACAGCAATGTCAATTGTTTTCTAATCCCAAAAATATTTTGGTGGGTCTTCAAATAAATTATACTTGTTTAGGTGGGTCGTGGAATGGAAAAAATTGGGAACCCCTGTTCTAGGTGACTTTGTTGAATTTATTGCAACTGCTTGGTTGTTTTGGGTGTTTCAGCATATTTAATGTGGCTGCTAGGACATTTCGAGTGATTTTAGTACATTCAATGCAGCTTCTGGTGTGTTCTGAGTGTTTTTAACACATTTAAATGTTGTTGCTAGGGTGTTCTGGGTATTTTTAGTGCATTTAAAATAGATGCTAGGGTATTCCAAGTATGTGACTACTTGGGTGTTTTTCACACATTTGATGCAGTTACTGGATCTTTTTAGTGCATTTAATGTGGTTGCTAGGGTGTTTTGGGTGTTTTCAGTCACATTTAATGCAGCTTCTTGTTTCTGGTTCAAGTCAACAGAGCCCAATACAAGGGATTCATTCATAAAAAAAACAAATCACTGTTAAACACACTGAAACAGTGCACTTCAAGCTCATTTAACTCACTCACCACTGGATGGCGTTGTCCCTGTTCTTGGTGTCCTTGCAGTCAGAGTCGAGGAAGATGTCCTTATAGATGCGGCCACACAAGCAGAACATGTCAGGTGCGGGGTGATCACATGACTGAAGAACCTGCAACATCACACGCAATGCCTGCTCTCGATCTCCAGGGCTATTTCGCCTGTTTTCGCACACACGCAAACATAAATGCATTTGTTCCTGAGATCAAAGGGCTGTAAAAGATAAATGTCTGTTTGCCAAGCATATGAATAGGAGAATATACCACACAATGCAGATTTGTGGTCACCTATTGAGCGCAAAAGCATAGTGGAACTGAATCATGGGCTGGTTGGCCAAGTCACAGGTGGGCAACATCTCAATGGTCTGTACCAATTTAACCATAGCATCATAGTCCTGAAAACACACACCAAAGACCATTAAAACTACCAGTAAAGTTTTTTAATGTTCAGATGTGCTTGGTTTATACTATATACCTGTATATCTCTGTAGGAGAAAAGCAGGTTCATAACAATGTCCTGAGTCAAAACCTCAGTGTTGTCGATGCGGAGTTTGATACGGGAAAGCTCCTTGGCCAGCTCCTCACCCTGGTATTTATCTCGAGCTTTTCGGATGTCGTTCAGTAGGGTGTCTTTGTATGAAGCACTGTCAGGGAGAAATAAGATACAACAGAAGATAGAATGGGATTTAGTTTTCACAGATAAATTCATACGTACTCCCACCTTCAGATGGGATGCTCACAGACCACCGAAATTCACTGACCACCCGATGCATTTAAACATGCAGCAACAAAATGTATTGTGGTTGGTCACTTCATATGTTCTTGGACAGCTGCAAAGTGGGTCAGACTTCATACTAATAGTCCAAATCTGGCTACAGAGGATGTGAAAATCTTGGCACTGCGATCTGCAGGGATGTTCTAGACTTCTGATATCTGAGCTCCAGGTGAAAGGACACCCCGACACTTTTTAGAAGCTATGGAGTTCCTAATAAATCTTGCATGCACATGTGCATGTCTGTCTTGAAGATATAATATGAGCGCTACATCCAATTTGGGTTGAGTCCCATTTCTTCACACCAGGGACAAGAAGATGTGTTTCTTGAGGATCATTTGACAGCTAATTTAGTTCCATGATGCAATGTTGAACACAAGGCACAGAATTCCACCGCAAATTGAATTTTTTTTGTGATGTACAAAAGTAATTTATAATAATTATTCATGTAATATTGTTTATCAGTCACAAATTGGAAGACGATTGCTTGATTTATGTTTAGCTAAATGTGACACCATTACGTAACTCTGTAAAGGATCATCTGAGAATGGGCATCCTGCCAAAACTTACCAAGACGTGACATGAATGTCTTTGAGCAAGCTGACGAAGCGGTCAACCAATGGGACGCACAGGGGTCCAAGAAGGTTGTCCCAGTTGGGTTGCATGTACTCCGATGCTCTACGCTGGGCCACGTTCTCACAGCACAAGTACTCGTTGTTGGGCATCATCAAGTAGGGGATGAAATAGTAGTTCCCGCTGGAGGCCTAAAAAAGATAAACAAATTCTAAATTTGTGCATTAAAAATGTAATATAGACCTATTCTTAGTCATGTCATATAATTCATGACTGTATGCAACACTGTGTAAAAGTACAGACTGTCTGTGTGTTAGTGACCATGTACTCAGCAGCTGGCAGCCAAGAAATTCGAAGCGCAGAGGAAATCTTGTTAACACCTTTGTGATCGTGTACTGTCCTAGAATTCCAGAGCAAAACGGAGGAGGGGGCCAAAGCACATCTTAGCACTCTGCCACATCAACACCTCAAACGTAAGGGGTCACCTAAAGCCAAGCCTCTCAGGTCAAACAGTCATCATACACTTTAAGACTATTTAAATTGTCAGGCATGTGGTCTGATAATAAATACTGAGCAAACCCTTAGACTCTCAGCTAAAGCATGATAGTTTTCAAACGGGGGTCCAAGGGGCCACCAGAGGCTGCTAAGTGGTCCGAAAACGAAAAAAAAACTGTTAAAAAAATAAAAATATATGTAAAGTATATACAGTATTTTATTTCTTTATTGTTATTTTACATATACATATAGAGGATGTGCAGAATCCTACAAAAAAAAGAAAAGAAAAAAGAATGAGATCATTAAAATCAGCTGTACATATTATAGAAATCTGTGATTTTGTTATGCAGGCACCTAAAGTCTTTGGATCCACTTAAGAGTAATGATTAATCATTTAAAAGACAGAGGCTGCTAAGTGGTCCAAAAACGAAAAAAAACTGTTAAAAAAATAAAAATATATGTAAAGTATATACAGTATTTTATTTCTTTATTGTTATTTTACATATACATATAGAGGATGTGCAGAATCCTACAAAAAAAAGAAAAGAAAAAAGAATGAGATCATTAAAATCAGCTGTACATATTATAGAAATCTGTGATTTTGTTATGCAGGCACCTAAAGTCTTTGGATCCACTTAAGAGTAATGATTAATCATTTAAAAGTAACCAAGTTTCTCAGCAATAAATTACTCACTGACTTTGATTCAGAGCTCTTAATTCCTTGACATGTCAGCCAGACTGAAAGGAAGTGAGTCAGATAGTAACAGACATAATTGGTCCCTCTCATTCTGATACATGCATATGGGATTTTCCCAGCATGCACTAGAACACTCACAGCACCTACTTTGTTTCTTAGGCCGGAGCCCCTGTACTCGGGAGGCAACTGGACCCATGGGAATTCTATTTTAACTGGCCTTGCAACCTACTCCAGACAGACAAAAAAAGAGAGAAAGAAAGAAAGGGAGAGCAAACAGTGAAGGGAACTGAAAGGAAAAGAGAAAAAGAAAATGACAGATAAAGAATATACAGACTATAGAGTATTAATGGAAACAAGAAATTACAGATGAATGAGTAAGCCAAGGAGATGCAAAAATCTTGAAGGTATCAAAAAAAATAAAGTATTGAAATAAAGCAGATAAAAAATAAATATTACATGAAAAAAATTAAACAAACAAAATTAGAAAAATTGCATTGTCAACAAACTGTAACTAAACTTACTAAAACAAAAATTATTTAAAATAAAAAAGCATATAACAATTACTAAAACTTCAAGTGAAATAAAATAATTAATAAATACTATAGTATGTAAATACTACTAAACCACATTGGTGTGGGGAAAAAACATATATTTAAGCAATAATGAATAATATTTCACTGAAATCCTTGACATTTGCCCTAGTTTTCCTTGGTGTTCATGAGAGAAGTAGCGCTTCCTAAAAGAATCATTCTTTTGAGTCAAATCTTGATTCATGGAATGAATGGTTGATTCATTGGTCTGAATGGATCACTCATAAACTGACAGTGGTCAACAGCTCATTAGAAGTTTATATTATCACAGATACAGAATTCAGTTTTACCCTGTTCCCCACACAAAGCTATCATATGATGCCAGAAGACTTTGAAAATAGTGCTAAATGGTCCTTTTGCATGCTTTTTGAAGCTCGTAAAATATTCAATACCCATTGTAACTGCACGAAAAACAGTTACCCCCAAAACAAAGAAAGTTGTATCGAGTTTGGAATATGAGATTGAGTGAATGACAGAATTTTTGGGTAAACTACTCCTTAAAGTGCTATTTTGCAATTTTTAAGGATCCTAATATTGTTTTGGGAGTCTCCAACAATAGGTTTACATGCATGCAAGGTAAAAAAAAAAACCCCGCTTTCATTTTCTGGTCTGGTCTACCGCATAGAGCACGTGTCGGAAACGATACGCCCATTGCCATACTTCTGTATTTTGATCACGCAATAGAAAATATAAGCATCCATTATTTATCATACTTACAGGTTGGGATTCAGTGGAGCCAGCTGCTCCAAATAAACTGTGTACTGAACCATCTTTCAAGAGCATGCGTTTTGTGAATCCTGCGTTAAACTCCCCGAGATTAGAGAAGCAGTCGTCAGTAAAATGACGGGAACACAAAAAAGATTGAGGTTGTACAGCTGTGGTACAGTGAAAAAATACATTTTAACCACTGACTCTTGCAGCCTCATCTTTCAGAAGTGAAAATATAACTTTCACAGCGTAGGACAGCGCATCCTCTTGACATGATGTTTACCACACGAAGCTACAGTGTTTAAGGGTGGGGGCAAGATGTTCGCGGCTGGCCAATGTAGAACATAGGAGGGCATTATGCAAATATGTTACCCTGTGACGTGTAGCATCACGGAAGTGGGATTCAAATTATTGATGACTCGTTTCGGCTGTCGATTCTTTCTTTTGGGAGACAATAACTTTATTTATCGTGCACTTTCGGCTTTACAACTTTGCAGATCACTTACATTCTCACACAGCTACATTACACACTGCATGAAAGGCATAATAGGGGCACTCTAAGGCTGAAAATGTAAAATAAGGGCAAACACAGAATTTCCCTTCTGTTCACATAACTAATGATAAGAAGTTAACACAGATCCATCTTTTGCTTGTTTCTGGGCCATTTCAATTAATCATATTAATAAATGTTATATAATGTAACACAGTTATTAAATGCTGTCAAGGTCAGCTTCTTCTCAGCAGCCATTCAATATAAGAGGTTTATTTAAAGACTTGCACTCAACGACACTCTCCTTTATCAAAACCACCAACACCCACAAACACACAAGTGCCATGACACCTTGAGAGCCCTTATGAGTTCATCTGAATCAGCAATAGTTTTCCGACTGGGACACAATGAGCCACCAGAACCTCGTGTCCACTCACAGATTAGTGTATGTCCATAAAGAAGAGTTCAGGAAATTATCTGCTCACTGTGTAAAGTCCTGGATATACACTGACACAGACGAGCAAGTACACGTATGTCATAAGAGCTCCAAAAATAGTCCCATACACAAAGCTCTTGGCACACCAACAATGAATGCCAGCCTGTCCACAAACCTCATCACATTACCAGTCTTGCAAAGAGTGTTTTGATACTTACTGTGTTTTTCTGTGCCACCATGTCCTATGCAAGAAAAAAGAAAAGAATAAATTACAAAACAACTCTCCAAAAATGCAAGTATATTACTTTATTTCACATGTCCACAGCACCTGGGAAAGTTTTGCCATCATGCCATTTATTTACATTTTATTCCATGACTGATGGCCGTGTGATGCAGTGAATGAACCCTGACTGAAACACAGCAGCATCACAGAACATGAACAAATACACAAACAGATCGCATGACACTTCTCCCCATGCATGATTGTTATCATTTCAGTATGCTAGAACATATGCCTTCCAATGTCTCTGTGGAAACGTGTGGACTGACTGCATGCCTTAGCTCGAATACAGACTGTGTTGTTCTGGCAGCTCTACTGTCCAGTGCCCAGAAAAGATAAACCCCTTCCTAAGCTAAGAATAGCAGGTCAGGACCTGGTAATGGGCCACCTCTTTGTTCAGATGACAAAAATACCAAATGTGAGTGTAACAGCCTTTAGGTATAACCTCCCACCAATCCTTCCTAGTGTTTGTGTGGCGGCACTTAGAAAAGGTTATGAGAAGAATATGTAATTCATAAGCTCTATTAGATTTTTTTTTTAAATACCCCAGAAAAATGCTAAATAAGACAAAGTGTCTTTTTATTGACATCTTTAAAGGGGCATTTAAAAAAAATAAAAAGATGATTTGTTTCTAGAAATATGCTGAATAAGACAATAATAAGACAAATTAGACAAAGCTTCTTAGATGTCTTTAAAGGGGGGAAATATTTAAGTAATTTTTATTTTTATTTTAAATGAATAAAATATATTTTTTGTCTAGAAATTAGCTAAATTAGACAAATCCTCTTTTTGTGGATGTCTTTAAAGGGGAAAGTTACTTTTTTATTCTTATTTATTATTATCTTTATTTAAATGTATTATTACCAAACAGGTTTCCCTTTCCCAAACACACTCCCCATCTTTCACTGACAAACAGGCAGTCCTGCCTCAAGCTCACATTATTGATTAAATCAATATTACTTTGTTGGCCTCTCAAAAAAAAAAGTGACAAAGAGCTATTCACTTTTTTGGAGAAGTCAACCTACAAACGGCCTTCTTAAAACCACTGAACATCTGAAAATGACACAAACCCCCTTTAAAAACAATAGAAGTCTATATGATATGTCCTTCTTTAGATAGCTAGGTAAACATATCTGTGTTTATGTGTGTGTGTGTATTAGACTGTAACGCTCACCTTAAGCGACTGTGCAGTGTCAAGATCCGTGTCATGGTAGAGGATGACATTGTTGGCCATGTCAAAGCTCTCACGCACACCGAGGTGATAAAACAGGGAGGGCTGTCTGAACACATCGCTCATGTCCACAACTGCAATGTCTGAAATCAATCAGAGACAGTAAGCATGCGAGAAGACCATACAGTACACAATCCGACTACTGCAGGACAGTACAGTACAGTGTGCGCTGTAGCATAAGTCTCAGTACCTGTTCTTTAAGAAGCAAACATTTATTTTCAATTCTATGAGTGTTTTTTGTTTATTATGACTTTTCATTAAATCACACACTATAAAATCTTTAAATAACCATTTGTCTGTTTAAAGGGTCATATGATGCTGCTAAAAAGAACATTATTTTGTGTATTTGGTGTAATGAAATGTGTTTATGCGGTTTAAGGTTAAAAAACATTATTTTCCACATACTGTACATTATTGTACCCCTTTAAAGTCCTAAGGGCATATTTGTTCTACTGCATATGGCTATATTTGTTCTTTTCCAGTCAAACACAATCTGTGCTTATTCTATGGAAACTACGCAAACATCTGAAAATGTGTTTGAAAGCCATGCAAGAGTGTAAGCAGCAAAATACAAGACCAGACTTGATGTAACCAACCAGGAGCTGATGCATGACTCAGTCTTATTAGGAAAAGAGTGATGGGGGTGATACAATTACAAGAAACTGATCTGTAGAATGCTATATAGGGAGGATATTTAAAACTGTTTTGTTCACTTCTGTTTTGAAAAACAGGGATACAAAGTTTCAGCTCTAAAATGCACTTTTTATGGTCCTCTAGAGTTCTTTCCCCAGAAAAAGTGCTGCACGTGAGCTACATTCTGCATGCACAAAAATGCATAGGATCAAACTTTTAAAAAGTTGCCCTTTTCACCCTCCCAAAGCTCAGATGTAAGAGTGTTTTGATCACCCAGAGTAACGTGTGCAGCCACACCCGCGAGAGAGAGACTTCATACTAGACCTGGCGAGTAAATTCCAGGAAAGGAATGTGCTGGAGGCAGAGATTGTCATGACTCCAATAACACCCTTCCATGGGAAAGGCCGATGACCCCTAACCCTAACAATTTACATCTTGCATAAGTATGTTTAGATAAACATATTTGTTTTCTGAAGTACTATACCATCTATTTAAAGTAATTTTGTATAATGTACTTTTGTATAATGCATTATATATATATATATATATATATATATTTTTTTTTTTGATCTTTCATTTATTTATAATTTTTTTAAATGTATGATATTATACACACACACACTTTTTTTGCATGATAATACTATTTACTCTTCATTTACATTTCATTTTAATTTACATTTTTTCACTATTACTTACATTTCTTGCATATGGAAGAAACAATAAAGTATTATTAAGTATTATTAATTCAATAACACACTCAAGCTCTAAATCTATAATGGTATGTGCCAATGAGTTTCTATTCTTACATCCTGCAGAACTGGCTGCTTTGTGGAAACCCTGATCTGGAGGCCCCCCAAAACTACTCATTTTGGATGTTTCCTTAATCCAACACACCTGATTCAACTTCAATCAGTCCATTCTGAAAAACTAGATGACCTGTACTTGACCTGTACTGCGAGTGCCAGTTTAGGGAGACATCCAGAATGTAGTATTGAGGGGCTGCAGGAATTATTCTCGCGTACTTACTAGTGTTAACTTACCTGCGTCATAAAATGTATCAAGCACTGTTGTCTCCCCAAAATCTAATCGTCCGAAAGTTACTGTGGTTAATATGGCACTTTCCGCGTCGCAGGCGCGTTGGAGACACTGGAGCGCCCCGGATTCCGGGCTGTTCGCGGCCACTGCCTTCAGTCCATCATTCAGCACATAAACCGCCCGTAAGGACCTCTGTTTGGTCACCGGACTCGGGCTGGTCACATCAGCCCTCTCCACGCCTGCAGACATGGAAGCCGCAGCGGTGTGGTCGCCACCCGCCTCTGCTGTAGGTTGATTGGACATGATCTCCATAGTGCGAGTAATTGTTTTGTCCCTCTGCGCGTTCCTCCTTTTCTTTCCGTCGTTAATCAATAATGAATAACCAAAGTTTAGTGCGCACCTGTGGCACGGAGAGGTGCGTGCCTGTGACGTCCAGCGTCTTGCGATTCATTAAAGCAGCGCGCATCACTACATATTACAACGTGGTCCAGTTTTATCTCGTTTGCGCCAGCGGTTATGCAATTACACGATACGGTTTGTGCATTCAGTGCAGAAAGTCAGACAAACTTGAGGCGCACCGCGCGCGCTGTGTCTCCAAAGACACGCGTTACCATCCTATTTGAGGAAGTCATTCCTCCTGCCCTTTCTGCAAAATGCACCATCCGATTATTTCCTCAAACGTGTGTCCTTCCGTTCAGGCGTGGGTATATTTCACAAGCGAGGCAAAAACTGCGCAAATCTAGAGCGCAAGTAACAGCGCGTGGCTTTTACTGCAAGTACAGTCACTATTAAATCATCTGGAGCAGATGTCTAAATATACAACATATCCGTGTTGATACGCGCATGGCAAACAGAGTTACGTCAGGCCCAGGACTCCAGCTCGCCAAACTGGTTTACTTAACTGTAATTTTCGTTTAATTTCAGATTAGACAAGAATCTGAGCTAGACTAGTCCAAAATATATCTTGGACTAGTAGTATATACCTTGCGAGGCTTCGTGGGAGGGCCGCTGCTGGCCAAATGGGTGCCCTAAGCAGAATTGTATTGTTGTGCCCCCTCCCCCAAATATTATGGATGTAAAAAAAAAACCTACTATAGGGACATGGGCATAGTTTTCCATCAATTATGATATTTGCATTTATCCGCAAACATAAGGTGCGTGCGGTTGCGCGGCGCAGATGCGGGAATGGCGCATCACTTGTGCTTAGCCTGTCTACTGCGTTCACCGTAAAATGCATTTTTATAATTACACACATATATATATATATATATATATATGTAAAATATATATATAATTTACATTGGATCAAATATATAATATATATATAAGAAAATACATTTCTGAATAATAATTTGTACCAGGTCCTCTTTCTTGGGTGATGAGCAAACTTATCCAAAAGATTGGGAAAAAATACATAAAAATCTATACAATTTTAACTATAACATTTCCATGGGTTTTGCAAGGGTTTTTGATCTTCACTAAAAATCAAGTTAATAAGTAATCAAGTCAAGTCAGATATATATATAAAATTCCCCATAGGCGAAAAAATGCTAAATTGTTTGTTGTGGTGGACGTGATGTCATAATTGAGGAACATTCGTAATTTATATAAAAAATTTCCACACAATAAATATTACAATGTTTCTTTTTTATTTCACCATTTTACTGTATTTTTAAACAACAGTTCGCACCAACCAAGTATTTCACTTTTATTTTCAAATTTGCTTTCATTTGTATTCTAATATGTATGCCTTCCTTGTCTATAAACAAGTAAAATAACTAAATACATTAAAAAAAAACATTATCAATAAGTTTTACTTTATGACTTGACTAATGTCAAGTGATGTAACCAAATAAATATACAAAAATGTCAACATATTATTGTCAAGCAGTTGTCAAATGCATAATTTGACCACTAACTAACTTTGCCAGATACTAATATACTAAAAATAATAATACATTTACACATTTATTTTCTAATTTGTCTTTTATTTACTAAGATTTAATATTTATTAATATCACTAATTAATCATCCATTTAATTTGTTTATGGACAAGGCAGGCAACACATATGTGATTATGTGAATAATAAATCCCAATTTACACCCATATATGAGGTGGGCTCACATCTCCTGGTTTTACCTTATCAGAGCACTCAGAGGCTCTGATCTTCATTTCTGCATGGGCATCATTAGAGATGTGACCGTCCCTGGAGACCCAGACATCTGCAGGCCTCACTGGACAGCACCCAGGAGACCTGACCCTCAATTACCAAATCAAATACCATAAAGAGCAGCAGATGCCTATGGAATGATATCAGTGAATGTCTTAAATGTGTTTGAGAGAGTGGGGGGTGGGGGGTGGGGGGGAGTCCATATGCACACTACATGCAGATGTTGTGTACTTCTGTGAGAGGATTGAATGTTTGTGTGTATCTGAGCTGCTTGAGGTGTATGATCTTACCCTGTCTAGGAGCTGAACTTAAAATGACCTTCATATAAAACATCTCACATATACATGACCTTTAAAATGTTTCATAACAGTAACCCCTATCCAAACACATTTCTAGGAATTTAAAATCTGATCACAGATAAGCTGTTTATGCTTGGATGGAGGTTTCTGGTATGTTCTGGAAAGGGAAATGAATCAGTTACGGCGACGAACTGCAGTCAGGTCGAGACCCCGATGAGGATGACGAGCATGCAGATGAGCTTCCCTGAGACGGTTTCTGACAGTTTGTGCAGAAATTCTTTGGTTATGCAAACCGATTGTTGCAGCAGCTGTCCGAGTGGCTGGTCTCAATCTTGGAGGTGAAGATGCTGGATGTGGAGGTCCTGGGCTTGTGTGGTTTCAGTTGGTCTGCGGTTGTGAGGCCGTTTGGATGTACTGCCAAATTCTCTGAAACGCCTTTGAAGACGGCTTATGGTAGAGAAATGAACATTCAATTCACGTGCAACAGTTCTGGTGGACATTCCTGCAGTCAGCATGCCAATTGCATGCTCCCACAAAACTTGCGACATCTGTGACATTGAGGTGGATGGATTATCTCGGCAAAGGTGAAGTGCTCACTAACACAGATTTAGACAGATTTGTGAACAATATTTGAGAGAAATAGGCCTTTTGTGTACATAGAAAAAGTC